CAAACAAACAAAAAAAAAAAACACACAAAGAACAGATGGCATAATGGTTACATTGCTGGACTCTCACATAGTCTGCTGTGGTTTGAGTCCTGGACTCGGTGGCTTAAAAAAATAAAATCCCAAGAGGAGAATGAAGAAGGGATTACGATGTGGCCATCTCTCCCAGGGGGTGATTTCTCACTTATTATCTCTCTGTTGCTCTCTCTCTCTTTTCAGCTAGCACACACACCCTATGGGAAAATCTCTCAAAAACAAAAATAAGCCCCCAAAAATGAAAGACAAAGAACAAGTACTATGTAGGTTGTGGTGAAAAGGGATCCCTCCTGTAGGAAATAACCTCAACATTATAAAAGACATATACAAAAAACCTAGTGCAAACATCGTCACTATATGGCAAAAGACTGAAAGCTTTAAGGTTGAGAAACAGTCAAGGGGGCCTGCTTTGCCACTTCTGCTCTATTCTTCTATGAAAGAAAAGCTTACAGGTGACAGAATTAATGAATTAACTCAGCAAAGTGGAAGAATACAATGTAAACACACACACACACACACACACACACACACATATACATCAATTGCATGTCTATATACTGTGAATGTTGTTAAAATAAAAACGAAGTCATTTATGTCAACCTTGATTAAAATGAGCCAGAGCATCCTGGGGTACAAACTGAGGATCTTTTTCATGTGAGTCCAGCTTTATTACCATTGTGCTATCAATTGGCTCCGTGGAAGTCTACTTTTTTAATGGGTATAGATTTTTATTCTTCAAGATGAAAAGAGTTCTACATATGAACAATAACGAATGGATTTAACATCACTAAACTGTCCATTTAAAAACTATTAAGATGACGAAACAAGAGGGCCAACTAGAAACACTATGGTGTGTCTTTGGAAAGAAGGGCTAAAAAACTCAATAAATGCCTATACTTCCAGCAGAAGAGTGAGAGGAGACTGACTTAGCACAAGAGAAAGACCACAGGAGCCTCTGGAGCACAGAATCTGTACCTGGAAATGCAAAGAAAGAATCAATTACCTGAACTCCGCAAGGATTCTGAGCCCTCCCCCTACATGGGGTCAGGAAAGGCAAGAGGACCTCTTCTGTGGAACTCCAGATATCATTCTCCCACCTCTGACTCCAAAACTCTCCATCTGCAGAAGAACAACAGAATGGGTATGGAGTTAACAGTATCATAGGTAAGTACACCGATATTGCATTTCTGAGAAAACTTTAGAACTTTCAACCCAAATGACCCAAAGCTTGGAGGGCTTGGCACCATCTTGGGAGCTGAGCAGTGGGTGGAGCTTGCATTGCAATCAGGAACAATACAAGGTTATCCACTTTCTACACTCACTTTTCAATCCAGTATCGATGTTTTAGCCAATATAAGTGTAAGGCCTCAAGCTATGAAACTACTTATGGAAAACACAGAGAAACACTTGAAGACATCAGAGTAGGCAAAAGTTTCTTAAATAAGATCCCCAAAACATGGGAAACAACTCCAAAAATAGACAAGTGGGATTATGTAAAACTAAAAAGCTTCTGTACAGCAAAGGAAGCAATAAACAGTCAGCCCATACAATGTATATGGTAATATCTTTGATTTGATAATAGGCACTGTTTGCATGCTGGAAAAAACCATGCTGTACATTGTAAGGATATACAATGATTAAATGTAAATTTAAAAATAAATAAATAAATGGTTACACAGTGAGTAGATAATCCAGAATATGCTCTTAGTGCAACTTTATCTCTGACTTCAATTTCCCATTGTGCTTTAAGGTTACATATAATTGTTACTATTTGATGAATAATAAAAAAAGAGTCAGCCCACACAATGGGAGGTAATATTTGTAAACTCTACTTCAGATAGGGGATTAATAACTAGACTTATATAGAGAAGTCAAGCAGCTTACCCTACAGAAAAACTAAAAATAATTGGGCAACTGTACTTAACAGAAGCTCTCAAAGGAAGATATATAAATGACCAAAAATATAGATGAGGAAATGTTCAATATCTCTTAAGGGAAATGAAGAGCAAAACCACAGTGAAGTATTAACTAACCACAGTCAGGAAGGCTATCATCAAAAACAAACAAACAAACAAAAACAAACAAAAAACACACACAAAGAACAGATGGCATAATGGTTACATTGCTGGACTCTCACATAGTCTGCTGTGGTTTGAGTCCTGGACTCGGTGGCTTAAAAAAATAAAATCCCAAGAGGAGAATGAAGAAGGGATTGCGATGTGGCCATCTCTCCCAGGGGGTGATTTCTCACTTATTATCTCTCTGTTGCTCTCTCTCTCTCTTCAGCTAGCACACACACCCTATGGGAAAATCTCTCAAAAACAAAAATAAGCCCCCAAAAATGAAAGACAAAGAACAAGTACTATGTAGGTTGTGGTGAAAAGGGATCCCTCCTGTATGGTTGATGGGAATGTAAATGAATACATCCATTGCGAAAGACAATATGGAGGTTTCTCAAAAAAATATGAATAAAACTACCATATGGTCCATTCCTGGGTATTTACACACACACACACACACACACACACACACACACAAAACAAACGAACAAAAAACAGGAAATCACTCAGTTGGAAAGACACTTGGCCACCCATGTTTATTTCAGCATCATTTGCAATAGATAAGACATGGAATCAACCCATGCATCCAACCACAGATAGCTGGATTAAAAATATAGCACATATAGGGACCAGTGGTTAGCATAATGGCTATGTCGCTGGACTCTCATGTAGTCGGCAGTTTGAGTCCCGGACTCGGTGGCTTAAACTCTCGCTGGGCAACTGTGCGTGTGTGTCCAAGATCCTGAGAGGAGAATGGAGAAGGGATTGTGGTGTGGCCATCCCCCCTGAGGGGTGATTTCTCGCTTTCTATCTCTCTGTCTCTCTCTCTGTGTCTGGCGAGCACATGTGCCCTATAGCAAAAACCTCTCCAAAAAATAAAAAAAATATATAGTACATATAGACTATGGAATACTAAATAATGAGATCCTGTCATTAGATACAAAGTGGTTGAATCAAGGAGATGTAAGGCTAAATGAAATAATCCAAACTCTGAAAAACACTGCGTCCTTGTTCAGTATACACCAAACGTCTGCCCTCTGTGGCATAAGTTGAGAGATCCGAAGACCTCAAAGTGGAGACGACAACTGTAGATACCAGAGTGTACAAAGAGGGGTCCGAGGTGGGGAGGGATACAGGGGTCAGGGAAAAAGTGTTTAACACACATAGGAATGCAGGCAGATGGGGAAATGGGTTGTGGATAGCACACCATAATCGAGTGGAAAAAGAAAAAAAGACCGCCAATTTTATATATATATCTCAAATATGGTGTCTATTCCTGAAAATTATGAATATGGTTTTATCTTTAATCCCCACACACTGCATGCATGCTACACTGCATGCTTGCTTTAAAAATCCATTTGTGCCCCCACTAAGATGTACAATTAAATTTAATAAAAATTATAATAGAAAAGTGTCAAGATGAGTTTTGTCTTATGTATCTAACCACACTTAAAAACCAGAAAAAAAAAGACAGAGAAAAATATTTAGCATTGATTCTTTTAAAGTATATATATTTTTAAGTACAAATTGCCTGAGAATTTCTAGTTTTTAAAAATTAGAGCCATAGGGGCTGGCCCCTTAGCCTACTGGCTGACAGCAGTTTGAGTCTTGGCCCCAGCGGCTTGGAAAACATGAGAGGCATGCGTGCGTGGTGCTCAAACTCCCAATGGGACAGAGAAATGGAGGAGCTGATACTGCAGAGTGACCATGTCCATTAGGGGTTGCTTTCTCCCTCTCTCAAACATTCTGTCCCTTTCTGGCGAGCGAATGTGCCCTTTGGCAAAGTGATTGTTCTTAAATTTACCTCAAATGTTTGAAGTCTCTGTTTCTAAAATATGTACAAGATTCCAAAAGTATAGACAGGTTGTTGAAGAACAAGAACAAAGATCTGTCTCTTTGGGAGGATGATTCGGTGATGATAACCAGGTTCTTAATGTTTTAGACAAAGGATTGGATGAAACATACCGACAGCACAATCACAGGTGGTTTATTAAATAAAAGTATAGTGCACTCCTGAGAGGGAGGAGCTGACCTGAGTGGACAGATGGCTCCAAGGCCCCGGGAGTCACATCCTGTGAGGTTTACGATTTTGTAATTGAGGTCATGTGAGTTGATCAATGGCTGGGCCCACCAATTGCTCTCATCTCATTGGTTCTATCGAATGTGACTGGGCCCACTGATTCATCTCAGTGGCTATATCAACCATGGCTTAATCAGCTAGTGATCCCCACTAACTGCCTGCCTACATTACCTTGGGGGGATTTTCTGCCCTGGTCGGGTCTGTCTATCCAGCCACATAGGAAGTTGTTTCAGCCCTCTTACCTCTTACCGGAGTCCATTTGCTCACTTTCTCCTGCCCAGGATGACCTAACAATCTCAGAACACAATGTTCTTAGCTACAGCTAAAATTTTGCTTGATCACCACATTTCAGCTTCCATACAGTCTTGAGTAACATTTCTGAAATTCGTTTCTCAACCGTAAGCTGACTGAGGCTATCTGGCTGTTTACTATTCCTTCTTTTCAAGCCTTGATTTAGCAACAGGTAACGTTGTAACAAAGTGTTCGGAATGTGACACAAAATTCTCACCACACTGAGGTTTTAAACTAGAACAAACGGTCTTTTGATATCGGAACAGTTAATCTTTTCCAATATAATCTTGTATAAAATGTTAAATGGAAATCATATTAACGCCCTAGGGTTAAATTACATTGTGTTAAAGGGACTTGCAATGTTTCCAAAATGATATAATTTAATTATAATTGTTATATTTATAAAACACCTTGGAAAACTGATTATCATGTGCTTTAAAATATTAACATTTATTAACGATGGGTTTAAGAGCTTTAAAAGCCAACAGGCAAAATGCACTTTTGGAGAGAGACATTCACAACATGCTCAAAAAACCCGTGGGTTAAGGTTCAGTTTACAGAAGGTGGAGGTCCAACAATGGGCTAGCACCGCCACGGAGTTCAGGTGACTGAGCTCAAGGGGTTCGAATCAAGTGCTTTTTGCCTTCACTTATGATCATCATCGGAATTTTGTCCTCAGACTGCCTCAGAATTTCAGGCAGGGTAAGCTCTTTATCTGATCTGAGCAGATTCTCTTGGTTCCTAGCTTTACTCTGTGTTGCCTATTTGTTTAAAGCAAGTGCCGTTCATTTTACAGCTGAAAGTTCAAAGGTTCTCCTCTCAGAAAAGCCTTCTAATCTCTCTTTTCTGGGCCTTGGTTTTATTTTCTTGCTGGCTTTAGGTTAAGGGTTCCCCATCATTTAAAATTTTATCTATTTATTTCACATGAATAAAGGCTTAATGATAACTTGTCTCAGCCCAAAGGCTTAGGAAAATTAAAACAAAGGGAATGGGATTCTTATCTTACTTATGGTTTTCCTCTTCTAAAAAAAATGATGCCCTCAGAAATTTTGCTTTTATAAAATGATCTTTTCACAAAGTATATAGAGAGGCACCTGAGCCTTTTACCCAGCAGGAGGCCTCTTAGAGAAATGCAGATTATTTTGAGTCTGAGAGGTTATCTCTTTCCCCCTACTTTTTTTCTCTCTTTTATGTGAAGGCTGATGGTGGAGCTAGGCATCCATTTTTTCTTTATGTGCTAGAGAAAACATTCTGATCGTCTCTGGTCCTTAGGGTCACTGGGGAATACAACTGTTTTTGATGAATATTCTGTCCTCTTTCACTCCTGATTTAATCATTGTTTTCATGTTTGTCTAAAAAATTTGGTTTACATCCGCCAATTTACTCATTCTCATTAAAACTTCAGCTGAAAAACCCTTTCTCTTAAAAGTTTTACCCTAGAGAGACCTTTCTAAAATTCCTTCCAATCCTTCATTATTAAAACCACCTTTCCCCCGGTTTCACTGTAAAAATTAACATAATAAAAGTAGATAGAAATACAGTGAAAGTGAAATAAAAGGAACAAAATCAAAGTGAGAGAAACGGTTACTTGTTTTTGGAATCTTTAACTGAAGTGCATCGTAGGTGGACACACTAACTAGTTCGGCTTTTATTTTCAAATTCACTCTTCAAATTTGTATTCAGACTGCTTTCTTCTAAAATTGACAGAAGTGCAAAAGGGAATATCACACAGTTATTAAAACTAACCAGAATGCATCCATCTGGCGTGCCTTTCAGGAATCCAGCCCACTAATTTCTTGCAATGGGCTTGATGACTCAACCCCTCAAGACGCAGCGGAAGGAAGAATCTCCTTTTGCAGAACTGCCAAATCTCATTCATCCGAGCAGAGGCTCCTCATTTGGGGCACGTCCTCGGACAGTTGTTTATCTGTTTCCAATACCGAATTCCCAGTTGGGAGGAACCCTATTCCCCCCCACTCCGCCCCACTCCGCTGCCGGGGCTTCACCTCCTGGCCCCGAGCCAGGCCAGCTCCCTCCCTGCTCACTGCCGCCCCGCGGAGCCCGCCCCTTCCTCGCTGCCGCTGCCCGGGAGCTTTCTGTCTTCGGGCCGCCTTCCCTTCCGAGGGTCCGCCCAGCCTCCGCCAGGACCTGCGGCCCTCCCTGGCTCTCAGGTGCCCGTGACGGTCGCGGAGCGCGCAGCCCGTCCTGCGCCAGGCCCCTGGACCCGCCCGTCGCGTGGAGGGGAAACAAAGCACCGAGTTCGAGTAACTACGAGCAAATTCGACTCCGGAAGCAATGCACTTAAAAATGTTTTAAACTTGTTAGGCAAAGAAAAGATCTGTCACATACGTGCACAGTATACAAAGCGTGAGAGGGCACCTGGGCAAGTTTCCAGTTTGTCCACTTTATAAAACATCGGCCCCCGGCCCTCGGCCGGGCACACGCGTCCGCCCCGACTCCGC